CCATGAGGTGGGCTGGGGACCCACTGAGAAGTCCTCACTGTCCCCCTCTCTGCCCCATCACTGGCCTGGCCAAGGCATACTCCACACCTAGCGTATGCAGCTTCTCTCTCTGCTAGCCACCTCACAAACCATTGCACTGCCTCCTACTGGCGGTTGTGTCTACGGCACAGATGGGGAGTTTGGAGCTGGTTTAACTTCTCATAAAGATTGGCCCGGAGCCATACAGCCAGGAAACGGCCGCACAAGGCTTCAAACCAGGTCTGACCCAGATTCCGGGGTCCACTCTGGTAATAGCCGGGCCCCAGGGCGGTTACAGCGCAGAGATAAGTCCAGGGCTGTGCTCACAGAGGTAGAGTGGGGGGCTCAGCAGAGGGAAGACGAGTTGAGGAAGACTTCCTGGAGGAGGGGACCATCGGGCTGGGCTTGAAGTGTAGGGAAATCAGTGTGGGGATAGTGAGCCTCCTCACTGGAGAATGCAGAAGAGCTACCAAGCATCTTTAAACGCACGAGAAGCTTCTGGCACCAGATATGTATGTTCAGTCCCCATTGTGCTACCAGCTGGCTGTGTGACCTTGGATTGGCTACTTAACCTCTCTGAGTCTCAGTTTCTTGGTCTGTAAAAGTCTCTTAATATTTACAGCAGACACATATGAAATGTTAGGTGTCTCTTTATATAACTGGAGTAGTAAGAGCCCGTTATCAACTGCAGGAATGTTGACAAACACAGTCACTTAGATGGTTCACTGACTCTGGACCTGGGCCTGGAGCCCGGCCTCGGGCACTCAGCAAATGCAGCATGGCCCTCAGGTCCTCCTTTGGTCCCTCCAACTTGAACTGCTTTGTGACCAGAGCAGTGAATCAGTTTTATTGACCACTTCAGTAGCCAGTCCTGCATGCAGTAGCGGGATTCTGGCTCTGGGGTTAGAGGAGTCACCAGTACCAATGCTTTTGACCTCAGTCCTCTCCAGAGAAAAGTTTGGATAAAGCCCAAACTACCCAAGATCGCGCTCTTCATACCCAGCGCTCAGGACCCAGTGGGACGGGACAGAGCAATGTCCCCGCCACCTGAACTCCATGAACTCACCCCTCGAGGTGAGCAGCTGCACAGTTTCGTCAGCGGGGGTGCTTGCACTGCGGGATTTAATTTTACACTGTGCTCGGAACGGGTGGAGATGAGGACAGGCTGTCAAGGAGTGAGTGGACGTCTGGGATGGAGCTGGGGAATCTCCATTCGCGGGATGAGGATGAAGATGGGGAAGTTATACCACTCTGCAGCCATGATGGCGGAAAAACAGTTGCAGCTGCGCGGTTCATCTGATTCAGAGTTGCCTTGGCTACAGAGCTAGGGCAATAATCAGATTAAAACAGTGTTTTCCATTCTGCTCGCCTGGAGCTTGCACGTGCCAAAGGTGAGGGAGGGTGCCCGACTGCCACCCTGACAGTGCCCTGTGCAACATCTGCAGCGTTATCATGCAAAGCCCTTTATCCTGTGCTGCTGGCGGCCCAGACCCTTCCCTGCAGCCGGCACGTGCTCTGGCGTTGCCCTCCTAGGATTAATTAAAAGGACAAGCATCTTTTCTAAAAAGGCAGCAAAAACTTCTAATGAATTTAAAGAGAGAAAGAAAATCCTCACTTAAACAAGATTTTTTTCCCCCATGATTCCAACCTGAGCATGCAAGAAAGCGCAAAAGCATGCATAATGGGGAAGCTTGTGAGACCTGCGACTTTGAGACTAATTGCCTGCCATGAACAGGCAGGAGAGCCGCTCATCTTGCTCAGCAGTGACCCTGGAGCCTGGGTCTCTGCCACAGCAGGCAGGGACAGGCGGTGCTGTTCCCTGTTAGGGAGGCGGGACAGGGAAAGGGCACTGGGCCTTTAGTCTCCAGACCTGCCTTTGATCTGGGAAGCCCAAAGAACGCTCAGTTGATAGACAGACGGAGGAAGAGGGAGGCCCCCCGCATACTGTATTCCCGGCACTGTGCGAAGACTGGTAACTGGGAGTCTTAGCTCCACCTGACAGCCAGAAAGAGACAGAGCTGACTCTTGCAGCTAAGGCACCTGCCCTCCAGCCCTTTTTCCCTCCAGCCCTTTTCGGAGCCGGGAAGGAGGCATAGCCCCACTGTGAACCAGTTCAGCTCAGCACGGGCAGCACCCCCCACGGCTTCCTGGCCTTGCCCTCAGCCAGTTGTGGATGACGGCAAACACGGCTCAGCCACGGCTGGACCAGCTGGAAGGGAAGCCATGCACCCGAAGCTCAAAAATGTATCAACACAAGTCACTTCTGTAGGGAAAACACCCCCGAGCCCATCAGCCTTCAGCAGAGCAGCCAAATCTGCCTGTCAGGGATATAGGGCCGTAGTCACCACCCTACAGACTCCATCCTGCTTTGTACCCAAGGCTATTGGCAAAAATAGAGAACAGAAAACAAAATTTCAAAGTCTCAACCACTGCCAGCCCATCGGTTCCTGTTTTTAAAATTAAATAAAAAATGTTGTGGCTGAGATGTGTGAGATATAACTTTCTGGGTTTTAGTGAGATTTCTTTAATGCCCATCGATCGCTGGGTAATAAGTTGTAGCTATATACCTCATTTCAATTACCTATTTAAAATTCACTGAACCATAAATCTATTCCTACAGCTCTGGGAATTTAGTTTACAGCGCCTATGACTTTGAAAACCCATTGATCTCTGGGTGCTCCGAGTGGCTCATGTCAAGCCTTTAAAGCTGGGTTAACTCATTTTGTGGCTTCTTTAACGGCTGTGAGTTTACATTTTATTGCATATCTATTATTTGGGTTGGGCTGTGATGGATGGTTTCGCTGTCTGGTTCAAAACAAGCCCAAGGTGACAGCAGCATCTAATTTGCTTTAAAAATGATGTTTATAAAGATTTCCAAGTGGTAATCCAGGGATAAAGGGAGCAGACCGTATTACCCAGTGTAAGACGCAGGGCTGGGGCGGTGTTGATGCACCTGCTTTTTTAGGGTAGCTCATGTTTGTAAGGACCTTCATTGGGGGACTCAGGGGACCTCGTCTTTCATCCTAGGCAGTAGGGATATTTACATTTCTTTGAGAGTAAAGCCAAGAGCTTGCTGTGTTGTCCAAGACTCATTCACGGGAATCAAGCCCATGGAGTAGAGGCTGCTGCAGGCCCAGGTGTAAGGGCTGTGCCCACGCAGTGCCATTCTCTGCTTATGGAGGCCGTCATGGGACACATGAGTACTGATGCCTGGTACATCCCCTAACTTCCTGAAGTCTAGCCTGGGCCTCTGGCTCCTAATGTGCACTGATTTCCCTCACTGCTCCTTTTCCAGAGGGGGCTGAACCTGAAAAGCATTTTGGGGAACATTTTGGAACCACCCCCAGAAAACATGCCACTTTTTTTTTTCTGACTTGGAGGGCTGCAATTGCAGTGTGCCCTCGCTACTCTGCTCCTCTCCATGTTCCATGGGATTAGAATCATCCAGGATCTTGGTCTGGGGAGGTGCAGGGAGAGAACAGCGCAGGGAGCGGACGCGGCGGACAGGCGGATGGGTCTCTAGCGATAGACAAGTTAGGACTTCACAACTGGATCTCTGGAGAAGAACAAAGCGCCCCCAACTCTTTGGGTGGCATTTGTGTGCTATAGACTTCTGTGGTGTAAAAATTCCTACCATGATTTAAAGCTACCAACTATCCAACTGTTTGCTTACAAAATTCCTGCTAAGTGAGCAGTCAGCTCTCTCCAGCCAGATCTATGGAGCTGCTGATACTTCTAAGCTCTCTAAACTTTAGAGATTTATTTACGGGAATAAGTTCCTAGGTATCCTGGTAAGTCTTTCCATGAACGAGTATAACCAGATGTGAGTTTCCTAGTGGGGAAGGAGGAGGAGGATGAAGACCACACGGAACCACAGTGTATCAAGCAAAGCCGTGTCATTGGTGCTTGACCTTGGCCTTTGGTACCATGGATGCTCTGACCTGGGAAGGTCTCCACCCCACCCACGTCGAGCACATGAGCACTTCCCACTGTCGTCCAAGTACCCCTGCTATTGGCCACAACAGCCTGTCTTGCCATAGAAACACGACTACTCCTAACAAAGTCCTCGTGACTGTTTGCAACAACAGCTCAGAGAAATGGCAACTATGAACGAAGCGGGAATACCCTTCCGAGAAATGAAACTCCAGCTAAGGTTTGGGGCTGAGGGAGGACAGTGCATTCCTTGGTTCCGGGTACTCTGTGCCCCCAGGGGCAGTCATACTCACTTCCCTGGGCACAGCCTGGAGTTAGTGCCGTGAGCGCGCAGAAATGTTCAAGGGCACAGCATGGCAATGGCACACGTGACCAGCTCTGGGTTAAAGAGGCTTTCCCTCTTTGGGCCACACATGTGCCCTGTGGCTCCAGTTTGGCCTAGTCCTGCCCTTCCCTCCCCTAGCTGCTGTCCTCTATGTGCTGCTCTTACACCTCCTAACATGATTAATCTGATATCAGTGGGTCCTGGAAGATCACCTTGGGGCAAGGTCACAGGTCCTTGAGACATCCTGGTCACTCGGGACCTACTCCATATTCTCAAGAGCACCTGCCTTCTGAGCTTCTCCTGGGAGCTCCCTTCCATTTTCAGCTTGGAGCCTCTCTCTCCACTGTCCCTGCGTGAGGCTACTCCCCACACTGGGCAGGGCTCCCAGGGGGCCCAGCTGCAGCCTGAGGATAAATGAGCCCTAAAACATGTCCTTGTCATAGGGAGTCACAGAACCCTCACGGCTACACTGTAACCACAGTCCTGGGTCCCTCAACAAGTGAAAAACCTTTATCCAAAAGGAACAGAACACCTGCCTCCTGTCTCCTTTTGTGCTTTTCTTACAGCTCAGGCTTGTTGCAAAACAAAACTGCTTTCACCTCTAAAAGAAAGGCACCTGGGAGACAGCTCAGGACAGACTCCAGGCCCGACCCCGCTGCGGTACTGGGACATCAGCAGAAACAAGTCCCCGAGCGCCCCGCACCCACCCTGCGGCTGGACTTACGGAAAGCAGTGTAGAGCTCGAGAAGGGTCAGGGAGCTGTCACTGTTGTAGTCGTCAAATCGGAGGAGGTCACCTGGCGAGCATCCCTGCAGGTCCCCATCCAGGTCCTGCTCCTTCAGCACGTGCTGTGGGATAAGGAGCGGACAAGGCCGGAGCCGTGTGAGTTCAGTGCCGTGGGGATCGCTAAAAAATGACTCAGGCTGAGCGGGGACCCAGGGGCAGCTCAGTTGGCATCTGGGTGCATCTCAAGCTCCTTGGTTTTGTCTTTCTACTCCCTCATTTTATAGATGGGGAAACTGAGGCTCAGAGAGGGAAGTGACTTCCTTAAGGTCACACAGTGGTGGGGGTAGAGCGTGCACCAGGGCTCAGGTCTGGCCTCTCCCTATCTGACAGTGTAAGAAGGGAAGACTCTATGAGACCACCTGGTCTACCCCTTTGGAACGCTGAGGGGAAGACAGAGAAGGCCCTTCATCACAGGAACCCTGCAGAGTACCCTACCTCAGCATGGGCACTAAGGTCCCCCGCCAACCCACTGATCAGAGCTGCTGCTTGCAACTCCACTGCTGCATCTGCCGCTCACCAGCCCCTGCCCTGGCAACCACGGGAAATGGCGGGCGCAGTCCACTGACCGGGCCTGAGCTCCACGGCCTGCCACATCCTGCCTGGGCCGCAAACATCTGCCACAGGGGCTCTGGGTGGGCCCTCAGAAGCTCCTCCCTGGTGGGTGTCTGGGCTGCAGGACACAGAGGTCTCCCTGCATGGCCAGCCACATGCCCGGGGCAACTGAGGGGGAAATTCCACCTCACTCAGCTGGGCCGGAGGCCAGAGTGCTGGAAAGCAAAGGTCTGCCCAGGAGGATGCTCCGAAGGAAATCTCAGCAAAGAGGAAATGATTTGATTTTATTTTGGCAGGGAGAGAAGGGTACAGGCTTTTTCCCTTTGTTTAACACTCCCAGCTTGGCCTGCTATATTAAAGGCAATTTAATGTGATAACGTTAAAAAAAATGACTCCTCACTCAGCAAGTGAGAGTGTTCGATAAAAGGGAAATCAACCATAACACCTGAGATCAATCTCCCAAAGATGAAAATTTCCCTTTGTCTATTTCTGCATTGGAAATTGATTAACTTTTCATAGGACCAATGAGTTTTTCCCTGGTGCCTTTGATTCAGTGTCAAGGAAAGGCTCGCGTTAGCTGGGTTCTGCTTGGTGGATTTATGGAATGGACTTTAAATATATTACATTTTAAAGAGGAAATTACAGTCCAATTACCACGCTTGTTAATGGCTTCCGACCATCAACGAATCCAAGAAGGTTCTGTTTATCTAGTGGCTACCTAGGAGCCGAGTGGGTGTGGCTCCATGTGCTCAGGCCACCTCTGTTGGCACACTGGTGCCACTTGTCCTTGGTGATCTCCATGCACCTGTACAGGCAACTACCCGGCAGCCCCTCCTGCAGGTGGCCAGAACTCACAGGAGCTGGGCTTTCCCAGTGTAGCTGGGGTCACCTGTGGGTCCCGGGCTTGCCCCTTGGGGCTTAGCTAGAGCTGGGCACCAAGGGCTGACGGAAGTGGTGACACCGTGGCAGCTGTGGGCAGTAGGCCTCTTGGCACGTGTGGGTTTGCAGGCCTGCTTGGGTGTGGATGAGCATAGGGGATTCCCATTGCGCTCCCTGAACATAGGCTTGGGCCCGCCGCAGAAGAGGCCCTGACAGAAAGAAGCGTGCAGGCTAGAACTTCAGACAATGGCCTCTCACTCAGGGTTTTCGGGTATCTGGTGTCTCCACAGTCCTTAGGACCACGGGAGCCTTCCGGTGAGAGACCTTCTTCTACCAGGGAGACCTACCAGTCCGCTTGAGTTCCATCAAGCTCTAGCCAGTGACCACAGCTTGGGCAAGTTATTTGGTTCCTGAGAGCCTCAGTTTCCTCATCTGAAAATGTGAAGCGGGCCAACAGCAGTCCCTACCTATGGCAGATGGCCAAAAGGTTAGGGGAAATAGTCACGACAGAGTTGACGGTGATGACAATGATAATGACCACCATCATCTACTGAGAACAAGCCACGTGGCAGGCACTGGCGGAAGCACTTTGTACACTTCAGCTTCTTTAATCCTCATCACAACCCTGTGGGGTTTACAGGAGAGAAACCAAGGCCCAGCGAGGTAAGGCCCAAGATCCACTCGCTCATAGAGGCTGGAGGCAGCCCTTGACCTCAGCCAGCTCGAATCTAAAGTCTGCATCCTTGGCCACAATCCTACATGACAAAGAACTGGTCTGGGCTTATTGGCCTTAGGCAAGGGGTCTGGCAAAGGCACTCTCCCCCCTTCCAAGGGACCTGGCCACTGCCTGGAGAGGCCACTGAGTCACAGTCAAAATTCTTTCAACTGGTATCAAAGGTGGGACCTCATTCTAATTACCTTTCCTCTGGGTGACCCTCCACTGTCTCTGGGGAAGCCCTGACCCCACTTTCTTACACATCTTTAAACCTTGCCAGTATGGCCCCAGGGCCAAAGGCCCTTAACAACAAACAAGCAGAGCAGGAGCCGAAATGCAGGCCCCTCCAGCTCGTGCCAGTCCTTCTGCCACCAGGATCCTCCGTGCAGCCAGAAGTGGCTCTGGCCTTAGGAAATACTATCATTGTTCTCTTGCTTTTGAGGATAACTACCCTTGCAGCTGAACCAAGGGATGCAGGTGCTGCATTCAAACCCACAGCCTGTGGCAAGCTGCAGGTTTCAGTGCAACATTACCCCAGACCAGTGATTGGAGGGATAGTCACAGGACTTCCCACAAGCAAGCTGGCTGGGATTTGGCTCGCTGCTATTTGGGGACCAAAGAACAGTACTGTCACTGGGCAGAGGACTCAGGGACCCCCAGGTTAAAGCTCCAGTGGTGTTTTCTAGAAACTAAGCACCGCCTCCCCTCGACTTTCATACAGAGGAAAGCAAGGGACTCAGGAGGACAAGACTGGTTTCCTAATTAAAACATCAGTCTCCAGCCCCAGCCGCCAGTGAGGGTTTTGCTGGATGGCTGCCAGGATGTCACAGCTTGTGTGTAAGCAGTGGCTGAAGGGAAAAAGCAACTGATATCGTTTTGTTTGTAGGATGTTCTCAGAGGTATTGAACACAAGCTGTATGATTCCCAGGAGGGTGGGAGCAGGGCCTCCTTGGTGCGCTGAGACAGAGATAGTTACAATTCACCGGCCTCCCATGAGTCGCTCACGTCTCTTCAACAAACAGAAAGCTAAGTTCTTCCAAAACTCGGTTTTTACTGAATGCTGTGCCCACCTGAGCCAGTTCGGAGCTGCTGAGGTGTCCGTTTCCATCTGTGTCCAAGTCCTTAAACAGAGATTCCACCAGCAGGCGCTTCTGGGAGGCAGGGTCTGGTCTGCGGTCACCTGCTCGCAGTGGCTGCCTACGGGTCTGCAGCGCCAGAAGGACGTTCTTCAGGCGGGCATAGCCGGCCATGGTGCACATGTTACCTGGAAGAAAAGAGGGTGCTACAGTGAGATGCCCATCAGTTGGCCATCCGTCCCCCGCACCAGGGGTCACAGAGGGTCACAGTGCAGGGAATGGCGCCACTGAGGGAGAAGGGACTTGTCTGTCCATCTGCCGCCAGTCCATCCCATAGGTATTTATCGAGCACCTACAACAAGTCAGACGCACGGAGATTACCAGCCAGAACGAGAAATTCTTTTGGCAGAATTTACAGCGGCAGCCCCACAGCGGCTTTAGGAAAGCCGGCCCCAATTCCATTTTGTAATAGCTTGTTTTTGTCTTAATCCTGCCTCAAAGGCTGCTTTTGAATACTTGGCCTCATAGATTAGGGAGTGTTAGTTTACAGGACTAATAAGCCCTGTTTAAGGAAATGAGGCACACGCCTGGAACCCGAGTACTCTAAACAAACGCGCACACAAGTCCACGACCAAGAAACAAAAGGAAGCTTCAGGAAATTAAACCCAGAGTGAGTGCACAGCGCTTTACCCTTAGGCCTTTGTCACACGTGGGCTTGCTGAACGGCATCAGAGCTGCACAGTGCTGAGCAAGTGAGGCTGGTGACACCCCGCGACACGACACAGTTTATCCTGCCGGTGACAGCCCACCGGTCTGAAGGCCACACAGGGCACAGTGGGAGTGAGGCTGTAGGACGTCACAGAGTGCCACGGCTCTGCCTGTGCCAGGCTTTGGTGCATCCTGGGGCGCGGGGGTCCTCACTGTCCATGCCAGGTGAAGGCGGATGGGTTGCTGGGAAGGCACAGTCTGGGGCCAGGGGCTCTCTTTCATTCCAAGGCCAGTTTAAGGCACCAGGTGACCGCTGAAGGCCAGAGAGTCTGCAGAGAGCAGTGCTGGAGGATATGGACTCTGCCAACCCCTGGATTTGTGTCTCAGGTTGTGTGAACCTGGGTCAAGAGGCCGTCATCTGAGAAGTGGGGACAAGAGCACATCCCACGCTGGCTTGTTACGGAGAAGAACTATGGGAGGGTCACCAAAGGCTCTGCACTTAGTTTGGCACTGAGGTCATGAGACGTTATCCGCTGTCACTGTAACCACATTGGCTGAAGAGTCACAAACGGAGAAGCCACAAACCGAGACAACTCCGCGGTGGGAGAGGGGTGGGAGGAGGGTCTGCTGTCTCTTGTTCTCTTCCTCCCTCACCTTCTCACTGGAGAAACCCAGGGGGCCCAGATGCCTTCCTTTGTGCTTGTTTGTATTTCTAGATTTTCTTCCCATTTGGGGTCAATTGATTCCCATCAGAAACAAATCCCTGTTACCATTTCCTCCTGCATGTTTATGTAGAAAAAGTCAGTTGCTATGTTCAGTATCATCAAATCTATGTGCTCCCTAGGAGTCGCTCCTCTCCCCTCACCGGGTTAGCCTCTCTCTTCTGCCTGGCCGGAGATTGATTCCTGGGAGTTTGGGCCACCGGTTGGCACACCCAGTTCTCAAGTCTGCACGGCTGTGCAGGGCTGAACGTGGGGTCTCGCCCTGCTGCAAAGCCACCCCTGGGCTTTTCTTCCTGCTAGGCCTGAAAAGGCTCAATTTTGGGAAAGGAAGACAATAGTCTTGCCCAAGTCTAGCCTCTGACTCCTCAAAGGGGAAAACCTGATCCTGCCAAATGCGCCAGAAGTAGGGACACAAACAGGCCTGGCGATGGCAGTGTGGAGGTGACCGGTGACGGAAGTGGCTAGCAGAGGCCTGAGGTGGCCCAGCCCAGAGGGACCCTTGGACGCAGACACTGGGAAGCTGGGGTACTCGCCAGCAGATGCGGTGTCAGTAGGACGCTCTCCTAGGAAATGACGGTCAGCAATGGAACTCTGAGAACGTGACACCCGGGCAGGTTCTGAAGGTCAGGCCAGGGAAGCCAGCTGGGCAGTGACAGCTCATCCTCCATGGTCCTCACAACCTTCCGCACAGACCTTGCTGGGGCCTAGAGCTCCCTGCGCAGCCTGCAGCCCTGGGCCAGGGGTCCGCAGCTAGATAGCGCATCTAGTACCATCAGGCTGGGGAAACCATCAGTGGGTCCTGCTGAGGCCACTTCCTCAGGCTCTGGCCTCCTGTCCCATCCTTAGGGTTCACTGTGGGCTCGCAGGCTCCCAGCTTCCCCACACTGGCAACTGCCATGTGTCTTGAAGTCAACCAGAGGGCAGGGTGTGGATGCCCCAAGTCTCCAGGATCTGGGCTCCAAAGGACGGATGAGGTCAGAGCCCTCCCTCCTTTCCTAGCATTACTGACACACCCTGTGCTGGACACTGGGCAGCTGGCTAAAGACAGAAGGGTGCTTCAGGTGCTGGGCATCGTGGGTGCCCGTAGAAGGAGGGCTAAGGAGGCCAGGGTGAGGGAAGCCCGTCACGGCAGATGTAAAATGCCACAGAGTTATAGGAGAAGGAGCCAGAAGGAAGCCAGGCAGCAGGAATGGGGTGCACAGAGGAAAGCAGCGCAGTGTGGCGGGAGGGCATCACTAGGGGGCAGTGTGGAAGGAGGGGCCGTAGAGGGTTGCAGAGGCAGCTCACCCCCCACCCCCACCCCAGGGTCTGCAGCTCACTGATGCAACTTCCGGTCTCATTCCCCTCGCTCCCCTTTCTCCCTCCCTCCCTCCCTCCTCTCTCTCTCACAGCCACACTCATGCTAGGCAAGTGCTGTGCTACTGAGCCACATACATCCCCAGTTGTCGTTAGAATGTTTACACTTTGAGACAGAGTCTTGCTAAAGTCCCTGGCCTAACCCTGAACTTGCAAGTCTTCTGCCCCAGCCTCCTGTGGGCGGGAGCGCCTGGGATCACAGGGGTGCGCCTCCATGCCTATGGTAGCTGTCGTCTCCTTTCCTGAGGCCCTCTCAGTGCTGGGGTCCTGAGTGAATGGAGGGGTGCCCAGAAGAGGATCTTCAATCCTCTGTCCCAGGACCAGTTGTGCTGAAAATGAGTCACGAGAGAGGACCTTGCCTACACTCAAACCACGAGGTTATCTGCTCAGTGTTACTGAGCTGCTCTAGTTCTCTCGGCACTGGAAGAAAGCTGCCTTGGCTTGGGGGCGCCATGTCTGTGACTGTGGGCTCCGAGATGTCCTTCAGTGCCTCAAGTTCAGCCTCCTTCACCGAGAAGCCTTTTGGTGCTCCTCTCTAGCAGAAGTGCCCTCAGGTGTCTCCCTGCCCTGCCCTTACTTCCTGCCTGAGTTCCACAGAGCTGGTGGCCTGGGAGAGAAACTCCTTCCTTGCCCTCTTCCAGCCCCAGAGGCAACTTTTCCTCCCAAGGCAGGACTTGGTTTCCAGGCAGGACGGCTGTCTTCCTGGGGAGAGTCCACCACGTGCCAGCTTTAGTTTTTTCCCCCTAGTGTTAGGGATGGAACCTGGGGCCTTGTGCATGCTGGGCACACCTCTCCCACTAAGCTGTGCCCCTAGCCCTGCGGTCTGAGGTTCTCCCATGATGCCTCTGGTTTCACTGTGGGGTCAGACACAGTGGCTCACCCACCTGGAGCACTGGACACTTGGGAACCTTCCACACCTGGCCTCTACTCAGAAAGCACTGATGAGCATAAGGAAAGAGAAATAAACAATCCCTCCATCATCTGTCTCCCAGAGTTGGCAGCCGTCAACACACTGCTGGGCAGAGGTGTCACGCGCCTCTTAGTGCAAGGAGTTCACTGACTGGCTGCATGCAGGCTCTGAGGCCCGGCCCAGCAACTTCAGATCTTCTTGCCAGTCTCAAGTTGCACTCAGTTTGGGCCGGAGAGGATCAGCATCCAGTGTCAAGCCTTTCTCGTCTTTACAGGGTCCTCCCTGCCCACCCAGGTGCTCACACAGGCGACTGCAGAGGCAGGGGTGGAGGGAGAAGCTGCAGTAGCAGCTTGCTCCCACCCGGGCTTTGCATTGTCAACCCCTCCCTCTACCTGCAGTGCTTGTGCCGCATCTCCACAGAGTTCACATCCTCACTTCGCCTCGGCTGTGCTTTGTCACCTGCTCTGTACTAGAAACCCCCAGCTCCACGGCCCTCTGCCTTGGCCCTGTTGGGAGAGACTAGTTCTGGGAGGGCAGGTCTGGGCCCTCTGGCTGAGGGTGGCGTCCAGTCTTTGCCTGGGCTTCAGTGCATTTGGCTTGTGCAGGAGGAGGGTCCTTGGGTGGTAGGTGGCAGAGGCTTAGGGGCCACAGTGCCTCTCCCTGGCACCCTGCAGGTACTGACCAAGGTGGGAGACCCTTGCAGTGGATCCCTGAACCAGTGCCCAGTTCCCACTGCAGGGGCCTCTCTGGCCCAGCCTGGGGTGAGGGACTAGGAATGCAGCTCAGTGTCCACACCGATGGATTCAGAGAGAAGGCAGATCATTCTTCATAATGATCTGAAGTCTACGCCTTGAGTAAGGCTCACCAGGGCCTTCCATGGAAGAGCAGGGTTGACACAATTTGCACTGCAGAGGTTTCTACTGTGGTACCTCAGTACTTAGTTCTGAGGTGCGTTGAGTACCCAAACCAACAAGTACCAAACAAATTATTTTGGCTGGAAAGGGCAGCAAATCACCTGGCAACTGAAAGTGGTGAGGCACCCTTGCATGCTGAGCAAAGGACAGGTACTAGGGCAGAATTTTCACTTCAAAATGAATCGAGGACAAAATTCGCCAAGTTTCAAAGCAGGTGAGGACCCTGTTCAGAGAGTCACTTAAGTGGTTCCTGTGTGTGTTGGTGGTTTCCAGTTTCCAGGTAAAGGGAACCTGCATTGCCAAAATAAAGAGATGTTTTTCTTTTGCCTTTCTGGGGACCTGGGCTATGTCTGGGCTCAGGCACAGGCTTGGATTCCCCCAAACATCCCACCCGGAGGATCTAGGGGGCAAGCGGCGCTTGGGGAGATGACCCCAGGAGGTGCTGGGAGCACAGGAAGAGGGACGGGAAGGGAGAGTCCACACAGGGCACGTTATGAGCAGTCTCCACCGGTGACCAGGGCACACTGGGAGCTCAGAAAGCATCCAGGACACATCTTAGAAGTGCGCCACTGCGAGAG